GCTGAAGTTTGGAAGATAGAGGATTTTGGTAGATATATTGAGAAGGCCCAGGAACACTGAAAACACATTTGAAAGTTGTACTGCATCTGAATTACTCTGATAATCAGCTGCTTTGGAGCAAAACTACAGCCAAAAGTGGTTGCACTATACTGCCTTGCAGGTGGGAAGTGGATCACAGGAAACAAGCTCCTGATTTAAAGCAATTATTTTCTATACTGTGTAGTGGTTTTCTGCCAAGAGGAGGAATCTTGCTCTACTGGTGGTTGTAAGATTAATTTCCTTAACAGTGGTATAGCATCATTGGCCAATGTGATACACTGGAGAGGATAAATAGATTTTCTTTTATTTAAAAGGAGGAAATCTATGGCTTCCTGATTTCACTGGTTAGTAGGTATTCTTGAGGAGGCCAGTAAGATACTGGAGAGAGGTGCTTATGGGTACCTTTCTGCTTATCCACATGAATCTTCTCATCTATGCCAAAAGGTTGGGAGATCAGCCAATAACAGGCAAAACTTTGGGTGAATGGGAGTTGAGTCTGGTTAGGGAAATGTACTTGCTACATATATGATTTACAACAGAGTAGCAATATAAGAATCTTTCACTTAAAATAGTTATGGTTGGATTTTGTAATCCAGCCTGATGAGTTAACTCTCTAGTATTAGTCTTGAAAGAATGCAGTGTGTACAAACCTGTATTAATTTATTGTGTGTTATCTCTCATGACTTACCTTTACCTTACCTGTACCTGCCTGTCTTTCACCGTTCTCCTTTTGAATACTTAACTGTAGGGTCTTTTTCCAAACCTAAAATTATTGTTGCTGTTGATTCGTATCCATCTTAGCATTGTACCAACCAGGTGAGGCAATGAAAGGAATTGGTTTGTTTCATGTGTTCAGGTAATTCAAGATACACTGGGCACAGTGGGAAGCTTTTGCAGAGTAATACTGTTGGAATGGTTTCCTTGGTCTGCGACCAGCTGTCTTGAATCCCCATGGTAATTCGATGCTGATGGCCTTTTTCCCAGCACACTGTGTTCCCTTTGTTACTACCTTCCAAACTCAGAGTCAAAATACTTGGGCCCTCAAAGCTTGAGCATATTCAGTGGACAATCTCATTCTCCTTCTTGAAAAGAAAACACAGCAGTTACCAAAGATGCTGCACTTAATCAGCTTGCATAAAAACTTGGGTTAGCTCTCCTCTCCTCCTGTGATCTTGCACTTGAGTTTCAGTGCTGCTTGAGTTAAAGATATTTAGTCTTGTAATAAAAAGCTCAAAAGTTTGTCAGGTGTTTACAGAGGTGTCATGAACTTCTCTTGCAAAGGTGTGAAGCATGCTGTGAGACAGTGTCCCAGAGATTTTGGGAGAAGTGCTGACACTCATATACTCTGCTGCATGTAGACTAAAGTAATTCCAAAGCAATTAAGCCAAATCTTTATTTGAATCCATATTAGAAAAGTTTAGTATACTAAAGAAGCTGTTTAGTGCTGATAACTGTTGTGGGATTTTAACATATTGACCCTTATTGTCTCAAAACACTTCAAGTGATATTTTCCTTCAAGGTCAGTTGGCAGGTGAGGGTTTAAGGGTGATGAAACATTTTGGGATGGGTCAGTCTGTACACTCATAGTGGGATGTAAGTGAAATCTCTTATGCTTGTGCATTTTTCTGTAGCTTCTTCCAGTATATCAGACAGCAAATATCTTTCAGCTCTAGGGGAGAGATGTAGAACAGCATGAAACTAATGGGCATGTTTCTAGCAATCTTCATGGGAGCTCAATTTCAAATACCAGGAGGTAAACCTGGAGAAGACAAATATAGGTGATTATGTTGGCTTTGATTGCCAGAGCTGGCCTCAGTGAAAATGTCCTGCTTTTACTGCCTTTCCTGGTAAAATACTAGTTTCTTGCGCTAAAGTGGTGGCTGATCAGTGTTAAGAGTTCTTGAAGTATCACGGACTAAAGCATATAATGTCAGGGCATCTATATTGAACTAGTGAAGAACCAGACATACCCAGGCTGGGATAACAAGTATGTGTTCCTAAGAAGGATAGATTGCTGAAAACTAAGACTTGATAATGGCTCCACTGTAGACACCTCAATGTGCTAGTTTTAGGTGAAATATCATTAATACCTGCAGAATATTCATTAGCATTTAAACATGTCAGATACATTTTTGGAACAGACACAGTTTCATTTGCAAGGTGACAATCCCACTTAGTCTCATTGTGGATACTTTTAATAATCTGTTTAACATGGCCCTTACGCCAACTAGCAGTGTTGACACGTTAAAATATTTCAGAATCCAGTGCTTCAGGGAGCTGCTTTGGTGTCTGAAACAAGCAAATGATGTGAACACTGCACAGAGCTTCGGAAAAGATGGTTCAATCCAACATGCACAATTTCTTAGCAGTTTTATGTTTGCAGAGTGTACTGTTAGTGTACCAGAGATACTGTGGGGGCTAGTTACACTATGCACTCTGTCAGTATGTGCCTTTCAGATCCTTCTTCAGCCTGAGTTCTTTTTTTTTTTCCCCCCTTAATTTTTTTCTGACAGCAAGAATGCTTTTGCTAATAGCCTTGCCATGTGTTGAGGACACTTACAAAAATAATCCGTTTGATCCATTTTGGTGTTCTGAGGTTTATCAAAGCCCAGGGCTGGAAAGTTACTGTCACTGCGACTGAAGAGAGGCGCTTTAAATGTTTTAATTTTTTTCAGAACAAATCTATTCAGTTTGGAATTTAGTTTTCAGACTTAAATAGTTACTTTACAGTCATAGTAGCAATAGAATGCTTTTCAGCTCAGAGTTGTCAGCCTCAGTTGTTAAAGGTTATGTTGTGTTTGGTCTCGTGTGCAAGGCAGAGTGCTAAGTAGACGGGTGTGTAAGTCTTGAAGATTTGTGAAGTGAAAGGGAACATTTCTCAAGACTGGGCATAATTTTTAGCTTAGTAATTTTGTGCAGCATGTTGCTACAGCAAGAGGAATTAAATTTTACTTAATGGTTTTCTTTGTGAACATAAGGGTAGAATGTTAGCTGAATTTTTAACCAAAGCCACAGGTACCTTAATAGTGGTTTTACGATTTTTGTTCATTATATACAGCTTTGTTTATGTTGACTTTTAGGAGGAAGCTGAGCAGTTAAGCTAATACTTGGGAAAACAAGCTTGAAAGTGACTTTCTGGGTTTTAGCATGCTGTCTTTTTTTTTTGTTTTTCAGTAAAATGGTTGGACAGGGACTTATCCTGCATGCAGTCCTGAGGGTGTAGTACAGGGAACAGGCTGAGTTCTAATTCTGGGCCCATTTCAGAAATGGGAGAGGGGGACAGGGTCATCTTTGATAAAACACTAGTTACTTCTAGTACACCTGTGAGACAATACGTGTTTTCTGTTCTCTCTTTGACTAATTCAGAGCTTTCTGTGTGTCAGATCTTTGATTTACCTGAAACATAGGTAGAAGATTTTGTATCATCAGTCAGATTTTAATATAGAAATTAAATAGCAGTTATAAAATCCACATTTTTAGATTAGCCGGATTTTGACCCAAATGGATCAATTTCCTGAGTGCTCGCGTGTAGTGACTTTGTTGTTTGGAGCAGACTCTTAGTAGATCCACGTTGTGTCCAGAACTTCCAAACTAATTCTTTGTTTTGCTATTCTTTAGTTTGACTCAATTCTGAGAGATAGGTGCTTTTTTACATTTAGCGAAGGGGTTTTTTTTCCCCCACTCTCTTAACTTGTTAGATATGTCTCTCCAAGAGGATGGGAAGCATTCAGTACTTCAAGGAGAAATCCTTCAGAGGAGTCTTTCTGTAGTGCAAAATGTATTGTCAAAACCATTTGGTCAGAATGAAAGCAAATCAGCATGGAATTTTCTTTGTGAGCATGGTGGTTCTGCATTTTTGAGGGGTTGGAGTAGAAATTAACAAAATCAAATCATCTTGGGAATTACAAGAAATCCTAGATTTGCTTTACCACAGTGCTGCTTTCCTTTAGAGGGCAGGAAAAACTTGTCTTTCAAGAGAAACCTCTTTTCAAAATCAGTGTACATACTGAAGGTGTGTGGTGATAATGATATTCTGGTGTTACTCCAGGTTAGAAGTTTTACAATGAGAGTTTCAGCCCCAAGAAATTGTAGACTAATGAAGATTAGATGAAGTAGTGTGGTAAATGAAGATACCCATATAGGAGCACTTGAAAAACATGGAGTAGATTTTCAAAAGCAACTTGCTAATTGGAAGCTTATAATCTATTGCACCTAAATGGGTATGTGGTAGAATGCTTAAGATGCTTGAAGAAGGGATAGACCACAGGAGCCTGAGAGTGGGTTTTGAAAATGTTTTCTTGCTGTTACAGCTGCTGGCACATGAGTGTGTTAACAATTAGGAGATATGGGAGGGGAGTATCACAGTGATACAGAGAGACTGACTAGGGATTGGCTCTTCAGTTTGCCCAAATGTGAGAATGAGGAGTGGTTATGTAAGACTTGAGTGAAATTCAGACTGAAAAGAGGAGGCTCTTAACATGAATCATTGTGGATCTGCGGAGTGCCTTGTCAGAGGACTTCATGGCTGTAAGAAATGTATGCAGGCTCAAAGGAAAGCTGAAGTACTTGGAAGAAATCCATGAAGTCTACCTAACAGACAAATTACATAAGGCTCAGGAAAACACCTGAAAATAGTTGGGGGCCAAAGGACACTTTGGAATATCATAGGTGTTTTTTCTGTTTGTTTTTGAAGATGGTGCTACAGGGAAGCTGTGTCATATTATGAAGGAAGAAGAATCTGAGCAAAGAGTTAGAGCAGGAGGGAAAGA